CCCCCACTAACAGACTTCAGGCTCCCAAAAGACTTAATGAACTACAGCTTTCGTCTGTTTCAAGCATTTAGTCATGACAGAAAGAATTACCCTTTTTGCCAGGAGAGGAAGAAATGCTTTAGTTATCAGCGGAGCTGGCAGGAGGCCAGCAGCCTCTGGAACAGTGTGCGGGGATTAGATGCCAGAGGTAGACATTCCACTCCAGCAGCACAGTCAGGCGGGGCCAGCTCCCCCAAACCCAGCCCAGCCATAAAGAAGCGGCCCTGCCTCTCGCCCTCCTTTCTGGCCAAAGTGCACAAGGCAGAGGCGGCAAGGCCACGCTCTTGCAGCTCAGCAAGGTGGGCTGGGAGGGCCGCCCGGTTAGCTGGTGGAGGTTCGTGGAAATGAACGGTGATAAAATGAATAGCTCTTCATGGAACACCTCCCGTGCCCTGCTATGTGTGGCGAGGCCACCAGCAGAGCCCCTACTGTCGGGCAGGGTGTGCAGGCCTCTCCCATCAGGGTGCGTGGGAGACAGAACCCTGGTGCCTGATGCCCAAGGCCTCTTGGATGTCTCATGGCTGCTGGCCATGGCCACTGTCCTGAACATGGTCCCCTGAGGAAGGTGAGAGGGATGAGGAGAGCCACGTCCATTCAGAAGTGTTCTTTCCAAGCCCTTCTCATATCCTGTCAATGCTCCAGAAACCCGAGGATGTCCATGAGTGTCTTCTCGGTCATCCTGCCAAGTCTCCGGCCTGAGCCTCAGGAACAGGGACAGCACTGGGGTCACACAGCTCGGGCTGCCTCAGCCAGCTCCATCCCAGCAGAGCGATCCCACAACCAGGAGAGAGTGGCCCCTGGAATGCAGTAGGGGGCACAGCCAGAGAACCTAATCTCATTATTTTCTCTGTCCCACGAGCAGGATGGCCACTGTAGAGCACACCGTAGGGCCTCGATAACATGTGGCTTTGAACTATCTTTAGTGCTGGCACCAGCTTTCCAAGTGGCCTCTGGCGAGTCAGTCACCACTCTGAGCACGTTTCCTTCTCTGTAAAGCAGCATGATGGTAATGGAGCCGGGGAGATTGTGTTAAGGATGAAACATGCGAAGATGCTCACCGCGTGAGCTCTGGAGCGCCACCAAATGGAGGGTTAGGAAACAGCGTCACGTCAAGGCTTCTCAGCTGGGCCCAGATATTGCCATGGTAGGGGCCACAGGGAGCTTTGTTTTGTGGGTTATATCTGTCAATATTTACGCTATTAGAAAAACTGAAAAATGTAATACTTACTCATTTAAAAATAATGAAACACACCATTGTATATTAACATAATATATTTTTATGAAAAATATTTTCCAAATACAGTTAGGGAGGAGAGTGGCATTGATTTACATTATTGCAAATCTCTTCCCTGTTAGGTTTGTCCGAATCCAGTTGGAGTCTCATTAGCTTCTGCATTCAATCTGTTATACATTTATTGTTTTGGTAGACGTAGATGGAGAAAATCCAGCCTCGCTCAGATATGTAGCTGGTGAAGGGAGGGATGTGCTAATAGCCTTCTTCGATCGATACTACACCCTAACTTGACAAATGCTAGCTTCCTAAAGGCTAGTTGTGATGTGGACTCTGAAGCCATATCAATAATCTTCATACTCAGTTACATGAAAGTTCATTGTCTCTCCTGCACTCTGAAAGAAACCTTTCCCATGCATGATTCTATAATAAATTGTATTGGTCATTTGGAAAATATTGGTTTACTAAGTTATGCAGATCCTCCAAATGTTGACACTTTTCACTGTACATTATCAAAAAACACGTTTGTTAATTTCATCGCTCATCTTAACAAAAAAATCTTCAAAGTCTTGGGAAACCGTCAACTTCACGGTGATAGAAATTTTCCAAAACTCTAAGTTTTGCTCAAAAGCTTGCATTTTATCACTGGCAATAAATACCATCAGTTGTTTTCTTTGATGTGGCAGACTTTGTTCACTTTTGAGAAAAGTCGGCCAAATGCCCAAGTTTGAATTACCCTGGTTTTTCTGTCATTCATTCTTTTAAGTAAAATGGTGTTTCCTGAAACAGTGGCTAATTCAGCTTGCAACTCAATCCCCCTTGTGCTTCTCCTGTGATAACCATCGCACTCCGGAATGCAGCCCGAGTGCTTTATGTGTACATCCCATTTCATCAAATAGAATATTAAGAAGTGTAACCAAGGGCTGAAATTTGATAAATTAATTTTTACTGCTCATCAAGGACATTCCTAAGGGAAGCTGCCCCGCCCCCGGAGTGCAGGGCGGGGAGGAATGCAACGATCCCCCCGCCTCTCTCCCCGCTCCGTTTCAGGTAAGATCCTGGTTCACTGCGCCATGGGCCGCAGCCGCTCGGCGACCCTGGTCCTGGCCTACCTGATGATCCACAGGAACATGACCCTGGTGGACGCCATTCAACAAGTGGCCAAGAACCGCTGTGTCCTACCCAACCGGGGCTTTCTCAAGCAGCTCCGGGAGCTGGACAAGGAGCTGGTGCAGCAGAGGCGACAGGCCCAGAACCTCCACGACAGTGAAAAGGCCAGTGAGGAGCTGTAGGGCCCCACACGGGGCAGCAGAGACACTTGGGAATGGAGAGGGGAGGCTGAACTAGCTCTGGCCTGTGACTTCGTTTGTCCTGGAGAAGGGACAGTGAAACCGAAGCTTGACTTTTTCCAAATCACCTGAGACCTCCCGGGTGCGTGTTGATGAACAGGGAGGGTTCAGGCTGCCTCCTGGACGAGTCTAGTACTTGGCTTCCCAGCAGAATGGGGCAGACGGGCTTCCCCGCAGAATTGGTTACAGATGGACACACAGTTCTGCATAAAAGCGCCTGTTTTTTTGGTGTTTTTTTTTTCTTTTTCTTTTTTGTAAGATGGGAGCAGTAAAGGATTTAAAAGCGTGTAGGAACTGTACTGTGATTAAATGTTTGACTTTGTCTGAAAGTCATTCTTAAAAAATAAATTAAAAATAGAAATATATTTTCTAACCACAGAAAGTGCCTGGGAGTGCTCTGCTTCAGGAGCATTTCTGGAGCGTTTGCATTTCCTTACTGCCTCCTGCATCTTCTTTTCCACAGGATCTCCAGACTCAGGTCCCCTATAGATGCTGCTACTCATTTGGTGGGGGTCGGGAGTGGGGGTCCTGAGCCTCAGCACAGAGGCCCTGCTTTGGGCTCCCCCACCTTTCTCGGGGAGCCAGGGATCTTCAAATGTTTAGCCAGAGCTGCCACTAGCCAGAAAAGCTCAATAAATTGTGGTAAATTTGCACAAGAGTTTGACTTCATGATTTTAGAAAAGAGGGGAGACACTCTTAGGGAACAGGAACTCCGGGAAGCCCCTTTCATTTTGATTGTTTTCAGTCACACCAGAAAGTATTTGCAAATGTGCGTGCCCTGGAAGATCAAAGCATCCAGGTGGGCTCAGGGAGGGTCCCCTTCCTTGAAGGTTAAGCCAGTCACCATGACTCCGATCTTCATTCCTGAGGAGAGAACAGCAGCAGGCACCAAGCGGGTAGAGGTGGCTTCTGGGACCAGGAACCATAAACCAGACAAAACCCAAAGAGAGATGCTGATGGAGATGTTGGCGGTCAAGGACCAGAAACCAAAACTGCCCGGAGAAAGCAGAGTGTGATAAAGGCTACGGGGAAAACGTGAGGAGGGGCCCAATTCTCCGCACTGGTTGTGGTTTTCAGCAGAATGAAAGAGGAAGCTCTTGATGGAGGAAGGACAGTGTCCAGGGGCTCAGCAGCTGTGCAAAGCCACCCAAGGGTAACCCTGTGACCTTGGCGAGCTGCCCTGCTTTTGTGCCAGAGGGGAGGACTTGTGGCCTGGGCTTGGTGGCTGGTTTGGCTTCCAGGCACTGCCCAGGGTCTGTTCTGGGTGAGTGGCCTTGGCCTAAGAGGAATCGGGTCCTCATAATGACTCAGATTTGGGTGTGACAGGAGCCATACACAGGCTCTTTGAAAAAAGATAGACAAAAAGGACTCTAGGATCATAGTGGCCCCCACCTAGAGTTTTCCATCAGAGGGTCCTAAAAATTCCCTTGAAACTAATTTATCTTCCAGGTCTGATCTATTCCTTGTCTAGAGAGAAATCAGTATTTCCATTTAATGGAACATATACTTTTAAATGAATCCATATGTGGAAAGTATGGAACACCTGTAGCCCCACTGCTGGTGCTGAGTCCCGACACTGTCCTACATGCTCCCACTTCCCTGAGTGGCGGAGTCCTGCTGAGGACAGCAGAGCAGAGAACTTTAAAGTTGGAGTCTGGTCTCATCAAGACGGTCCCTGGGAGCTAGAGGTAGGAGAAAGGAGGGTCAGAAGTTTTTGCAAAATTGTTTCAAGTCTTCAGAATATTCAGTCAATAAGTACATATTAAGAAACTACCACATGCCAAAAACTGGAGTTAGGAGGCCCAAAGTAAAAACAAAAACTCATGCTGTGATCAAGTGCAATGAGGGAAACAGGTAATAAGGTGACCAATCGGGACAGGCTCGGGGAGAAACCCACTTTAGAGGGCAGAGGGGGTGGTTGGAGACCTCTCTGAGGAGACTGGAGTGAGCTGAGTCTTGAAGGAGCACACCTTCCAAATGTGGAGGGAACATTCTAGGCCGAGGAACAGCACAGGTGAAGGCTCTGAGGTGGCAAAGAAGTATGTTTTTGGGGTGTGTTTACAGAACTGCCCATCAGTGTAGCCAGAGCTTGTGGGTGAGGTGGGAGTGGAAGAAGAGAGGTAGGGAATCTAGATTTTATTCCAAGTGCAAAGGAAAGCCACTGAAGGTGCTTAAGCAGGGGTATGGTATTATCTATAATTTAAGGAAATCACTCTGGGAAGAAAAAAATCACTGCGGCCAAAGTATGGAAAATGGATAGTAGGGAGTTAAGAAGGGAGGCAAACCAGTTAGGAGGCTGTTGAACCTGTTGATAGGAAACAGGAAGGTGACCTGGACTGCGGCAAGGGAGGGGACTAGTGCTCAAGATTATTTTGGAATTGTCCTGGAGAATCCACAGAACCTTGAGAGGGAGGGAGATATGAAAGGTATTAATTCGGTTTCTTGGTGGTGCCTTAATACTAAGGTGGGGTGGGGTGGGCAGGGCAGAAATGGGGGGAGGGGGCTGAAGGTCACCAGTTCTGTCATGTCTGTTAAGGCATACTAAAGGTGTCCCATGTCCTTTGAGCCTGAATCTAGAGAGGGCTAGGGCTGGAGATGTAATTGTGGGTGTTACCTGTATAGAGGTGGAATTGGAAGTCATCGTACTGAATGAGATGAGAGAAAAGAGACAGGGAGCCCCAGGAAAAGGGACAGAGAAGGGAAACAAGCAGGAGTGTGGAGTCACAGAAGCCTAGGTACGAAGAAATTGAAGGTGCTGCTTCATAATATAACTGTACTGGTGCTGTATTGACTGTAGACCACCACTCTCTTGCAACAACAAAGTAACCTGTATTTGTACAGCACTTAACAGTTTTTAAAGCATCATGTTTGTTAGCTAAGCCTTTAAGTCAGAGATGGCAAGTTATGTTCCTCTCACAGAGTAAAGTGCTGTAGGAAAAAGTCGAGTTTTGGAGAGAATGGGGTTTGTTGAGCCTGAATCTCATCTGTAAATTGAAGACAAAGCCCCACTTCCTGCACAGGGTGTGGATCACATGGGAGGACTGTTTAAAGCTTTGTAACAATATTGTGAGTCACTATTTCAGAAACAGAATGTTGGCAAGGAAGGCCGATGCCTTCACACCTGGGCAGGCTCCACCTGACCTGTCAAAAAGTAAAGGTTGGCAACTGACAATCACTTGTTTAGACTCTCATAAAGGAAATAACACATTATTGGGTTTAAAAGTTGTGGCCTGTTGATGAACTCAACCTGATGGCGACATTTCAGTCCTGATAAACCCACATTCCTGTTTTCCAGGGTCCTTGGAGTCATGTTGAGGTCTGAGTTGATTTCTCTAGTGAGTTGGTCAGTGAGGGAGAGGGTGCAGGGTGTCCTGGGGCCACCTCAGATCAGTTCACCTCCTACGCCGAGCCTGTTTGTCAATGAATGCAGGCACTTGGGGCGAGCAGAGGGGCTCCCGGACCTGGATATGCTGCAGTCCCTAGGGAGCCTGTGAAACTTAAGTCCCAGTCCTGTTACTAGATTCTGGCCTGATAGGTCTGGGACTTGTCCACAAGCTCCCTGGAGGACTGTGAGGCAAGCAGGAAGGGGGGGTGGGGGGTGGGGTGGAACCTGGGTATCCACAGACCATAGGGTGTGATTAGCAAGCCACTGTCAAAGGGAACAGAAAGGGGAGATCTCAGTCCCCACAGAATCTTAGCACAAGAGGAAAGACGCCAAACGTGAAGGTTTCAAGGTGAGGCCTGTGGGAAGTTCTGCATGGCTTCCAATCAGATTGTTAGCAGCCCCCCTCACCCACCTCCCAGGCTCAGGTAGCCTCTTGTGGACTCACTGAGCTAAGGTCCTTGGCTGCTCCCGAAATGACACAGCAGTTGAGTCAAACGAGCAGCACACAGTCACCTCCCACTCTGCAGGTGGATTACTTTTCCTTTCCTACCCACACAGCATCTGGAAGGTTCTCTTCTCCCTTTGTGATGACAGCACCTGCAGAAGTGGTTTTTGGAAACCCTCCCTCAGCTACTACACACTTTCCCCCATTGACTGTGCAGTTGTGGAAGGAAAGGGCCAAAACATAAACCCTTGACACTAAGCCCAGATGCTTTGTAACCATAAGCGAAAGAAAACGAGGGTGAGAGCACAAGGCAAAGCCTGCGGGGCAGCCTCCCACTGCAGGGCCTGGGATTCTGGGCTATGCACCATCCCACCTATACGGTGTTTTATTCTGAAAAGTATAATTTGTGCAACACCTGCTTATTGTGTGTTGAGCAACTTGTGGAAAAGCAATGTCCTCCCTCTAGACGCATGGAGCTGTGACTGGTTCAGGGGAGAGCTGTGAGCACCCACGCTTACACACTCCGAGAGCTTAATGGGCCTGTTGCACGGGTGCCGTGAAGCATACTCTTACTTCTAGGCTTGTTGCTTGAATACTGTTTTAACAGACGGAACCTTCTCTGAATTTCATAAAATAATATTTGAAAACATTGACTTTTTTCTCTTTTGGTCTAAACTTTAGACACTAAAGAAAACATCCAATCACTCATTCACAACAGAGCAAAACTTTCACACTCTTTTAAGAAAATGATTTTTCAAATATAAAATCCCGAACTGGGTGCTCCTTTTTCTGGGTATTGTTCTTGAGAGAAATGGAGTTGGCTACGGCTGTACGAGCCCTGAGGGGGTTTACTCAGACTGAACAGCTGAGACACCTGGGTATTTGTGCAGGACCCCTTTGCAAATGAAGATCAAAGTCAAAAAGAAAAAAACAAATTCACTTTATTTTAAAGACAATGATTGGCATACAGAAGGTATGCACTCGCATAAAATAAACTTTCATGAAAAGCATTAAAATCCATTATAAATTAATTTATTAAATAGGTATTTGGTATATGTGATGGTTTTATTAGATATTACTCTTATTTATTGCCAACCCCCTCCCCCAAAGTCAAAACAAATCAGAAAATCTCTTAACTCCAATTTACACTAAATAATTTATTTTCCCGAAATGTGTATGTGTTCGGAGATGTGACACATGATACAGTTCAATTGGTCATCTCTATCAATCATAATATGACAGGACACAAGAGGCTAAAAATGGCTCATCATAATTTATTTTATGTTAAAATGTACAGCTTTTTTTTTTAATTTTTTTGTTTTTTTTGAAGTGACTGACTAAAAAGAGAACAGATAAATCCAAGAGTGTCGCTGGCTCCTATTTTATACAAGGGTTGCGCCTCTCCTGCTTGGCCCTGACAGTCACCTGTTCAGGTACAAAGGCTACAAAAGGGAAGCAATATAAACAGACACACACCACTCCTCTGCTTTGTACATGCGCTGGAGCTGTAAGCTTAGGTGGAGCTATTCACAGGCTACTTCTCTATTTCCCTTAAAAAATAACTCCCATATTTTATAAAGATAGAAAAATCTACAGATGGAATGAAAATGTAAAGTTAGAGGCATTTCCATAAAATAGCAACTTTACACCAAATTCACTATTTTTTTTAAATCCTGCCAAGTATTTGGACATATATGAAATGTTTCAAAACCTGACAGATAAACACTGAGATATGCTTCATTCAATAAACAGAAGTCTGCATTTATAAAACAGAAAGCTGCCTTTTTTCCCTCAAAGAAATCTGTCACCAAAATGGAAAAGGGTCTCAACTTTACACCAAACATTTAGCAATAAAACCCTTTTGACTAACCAAATGAGAATAGCTTTTATAGCTCTTTACAGTTTTATAATTAACAAAAATATAGTTTTTTTTAAAACCCTCAAATTAGGGCACCCTAATCAAGGCAAAAAACTTAAGAAATGGCTTACTGTTAGCACAACACTTGTACAGTACTACAAAATGCACTGTCACTAACAAAGACATTAGCGGCATGCTGAAGTGTCACCTTAAACAAAATATACAATAACTGAAATGCTAAAGGCATTTACATGGAGTGGACAGGGAAGAAAAAAAAGCTCTAGGTTCCGTATTAAAACAGATAACTTGGGGTTGCGGGGCTTGATATCCACATTGTTTAACGGAAGCAGGCACAACAAGTGGCTGCCTCCAACTGTAGTCCAAAGAGAGGCCTTCCTTTGCAGAGAACTTCGTATAAAAGTAACAGAAACAAAGGTAACAAAAAAAAAA